CACCTCTATCGGAAGCGGGGGTGAGGACTCACCTAGAGGCCAGCTGCCTCGTCTTTGACACCTGTAGGACCATCTGGGGCACCCAACTGAGCCGCCTGCTGTTCAGCCGTCGGCCTGGTATGTGGGTTTCGGTGTCATTCTGACGGGTGCCAAGAAAAGAAGCGGTGCGCGATTCTTTCTATCAAAGCTCAACAATTGTTGGTATACTCAGATTGGGGCACACTTATCAGTATCATTCTGTATCAGTCTGTATCATTCTGTATCAGTATCAACCGAAAAACTTGTATGTCATCCTCCGTCAATCCGTCCATACTTGCACAAGCAACCCCGTGACACTCCAGGTCTTAAGGCACCAAACCAAATCCCGTCGGCTGGCCCCCCCCCCGTGGGAGTGTCCGCTGCCTTGTGGCCGTGGTAGTGGAATAGACGGGCGGCGCGGAAGAGAAGCTTTGGGTCATGGCGCTCACCTCAGCTCGGTGGCGAAGAAAACGGTCGTGAAATAGACCAAATGGTCTTCCAGGAGTTCCAAGTTGGGATGGGTCTTCAGACCTAGCGAGTGGGGGACACCCCCCTTTCGCATCCCAATCACCGACGAAGTCCTTCGGTGGAGCATCAATGCGTTGTGTCAATGTTGGGGAACATATGACGCTTCTTTTTGCACCGACAGGATGATGAGGGCGCCAAGAATGGTATCAAATTGTTTTTGAGCAAAACCTGCCAAAACGGCGACCTGAGCCCTATATTGTTCGCCACCAGTGGCTTGACAGGCCTGCGGCCTGATCTCCCCCGTATTGAGATGGTTGAGACACACCAAATGCTTGTGGGCGAAAACACCCTTGTGTAGAAACCCTGGTTTGGTTTGAGGAAGCATTATAGGCTGTAGGCATACACCAACTGGGGGAACGGTGTGGACAAAAGTCCTACGCAAAGACCAAAATAGAGACTGATAGACCAGGGATATCAGCCCTGCCAACATGCCCAAACTAGTACTGAGCCATCCAAGGATGCAACAAAGCTCTGGTTGGATCCCAGCTTTACAGTGATTTGACAGTACCTGCCCAAGAAGTGGTTCACGATACAACCCTATCGTAGTCAGAGCAACTAAGCCATCGTGCACATGGAAAACTATGGACCGATGGAATGGAACCACCTCGGCAATCCGTCATGGTCACAGGTCACGTGATGGAGGTGATGTCTATTTTGTTCCGCACCCCTTTGAAGCCTCCTGGAAAACATCTCTTCAAATCTCTGGTGGAGTACAACAGAGATTTGAAAAGGCGCAGAAAAAGAAGCCCACACAGAACAGCTGTAATATAATATATATATATATAATCATCATCATATCATATACATTGTCCCACCACCCCACCACACCTGTCCCACACTCCAGCTCTCAGCCGCGTTCCCCACCAGCTGTGGCAAGGTGGACGCGGTCTCCGACCACGAGCTCAGGTATGGCAGGTAGACCCTTGGCCGTTTGAGCCAGTCAAGGAGTCAAACTTCGGAAAGTGTTCAGCGAGGACTTCAAGCGTGCGTGTTGTGCCTGTTGTTTGCGTAACCTTCTGTAGCTGTCAAGGTCCATACGATGGGTAGATGGATCTTCCATTTTTGACCAGTCCATCAGACTTTGACCTCAGATTCTAACTCTGCTGTGGAAATGTCATGGCTGGTTTGGAGATGGGCTGACGGCCCAAGCACCGCCAGTAGACCGGTCTCACATGTGGGTCGACGGTGAACGTCACCTTCACCGATTCTGTATATCCACGGTCGACAATGATTTATGATTCTTAAAAAAATAATGAAACACCACCAAAGCATCACTCACATGAATTCAGCAAATGTTCGCAAGAAGGTGGAAAGAATCCAGAATGCCACACCTGAAGCTCCATGCGACACCAGCATCAGTGGTGGAGTATCCTCCATGGTTTCATCAGTCCATGGCTTCAACGACCAGTCAATTGCTATAGTGAGGTCCTAAATTCATCTATTATATATATATATATACAGTGCCAGCATGGTTGAAAGGAGCACGCATTCATACGGTGGCCTT